GTTCGGTGATTATAATATATTATTATATCCTTGCTAATAATAGTTTTATTTAATACAATTAACGCACTAAAAACGATCAAATCGAATCTATTTTACCGCGAATGACCTGAACGTGGTGAATTTGTATTATTGTCGATGAAATGATGAATACCTTTCAAGGTTCAACGCTCAAATCTTTATGTTTTCACAAAACCAACAATAAAAACAAAGAAATAAAAATGGTAAAAACCGTTTTTGTCATTGTCAACTACTATGATAATTGTTAACCTGTTATTAATACCTTGTATTAAAAGCTATTAAAAAAAAACTACTATAACGTTTTTCCGGATACTAATTATTTATTTATTTTTTATTTATACCCGGCAAGGTATAGATTTTACAACGATTTATTTTTTATTTTTCTGTTGGTTGTTCCATATTTCTATGGTGAATCACTTTTGGTTTTGTCGAAGGTCACAAACTATACAAGTCGAACATATTTTACATAATGCTTAACGGACAGCAAGATTTAAAATACCGTTTTATTTTTATAACATTATAATTATTATTATTTTTTACCTTTCTATGATATAACTATTCAGACTAACTGGTTTGACGGTTTACAAGTTAAAACTGCTGTACTGGTCCGACAAATTTATAACAATTTTTTATGATCAAAGAAGTTTTTTCTTCTCTGTTTTAATAGAATATTATTTATTACAAGGAATCGGTTGAAATCAATAGCTGGAATCGTGTGCGAGTCGGTTGTTATACAACGAACATACATCTCGGACTGCTGTAAAAATTCTTCATCCTGATCGACCAGTTGTTTTGAAATTGAAATTTTTCAGTTGCGCTCAAAACACCATATTATTATACCGGTAAACTTGTCGTGCTAGTATTTTTTGATGAATACTATATAGAAAATTAATTAGAGGCCTGACATCGATTATTTTAAACTTGTAATATCTCCCTAACCTCATGGGCGCTACTAAAATGTAGAGAGTGATTATAATTACTAGTTTTTCACGTTTTATTCATTCAGTAATAGTTAATAATTCGACACTATCCCGTTAAAAGATTACTAGCTAATTAGGTAATTAGGGATTCGGCAATTAATGTATACATATACAGGTAAAATTATAAAATGATTTAAGTGTCGATCTATGAATGTGGTAAGTTAATATTTTAATGACAAATTTGATCATTTATATTTTACTATCAAAAGATAATATATAGGCGGTTTGGTTTATACTTATAATATAAACCAAAGAAATCGACCATATCCATAACTTTGTCTATTCATTATTCATTGATGTTATGTTTTTACAACCTTAGTAGTAGTACCATAGTATAATTCTGTACCTTGGGTCTAAAATAGCCAATATCATATTTTTTAATAATGTATTAATATTTTTACAAAACTTAATTAATTTTCGCCTCGAGAGTGCCATTTTTTTAAGTACATAAAGTATGTTTTAATTTTAATGTCTAACGGATTAACTAGTTTATGTATGTCGGAAATTGTCATTGGCCCTTTTAGACCCAATGTACAGATTTATACGGCCCATATTCATTTGAATATTTAAACAAACTTATGTTCTTGGCGATGAGCTTCCTAAATACCCTCCAGCCTTCGCAGGTGTGCGCTTTCTAAAAGATTCTATGTATGATTTATTATTAGTAGATACAATATTTTGCCATAAAATCATACATTATGTAGTACTTAGATTAAAGTTTTCGATGCGGAAACAGTGTAAAGAAAGTTGCTCGATTATAATACATCGAATCGTTGAAAACCGCCAAGTTTATTAAGGGGGGAATTGGGAAATCAGCTGAAAAACCGCTAACGACCGTATCCCTATTGTTTCCGGTACATTTCAAGGATTTAATAATAATAATGTAATTACCATCGTTATTGGGGTAAGTTACACTATATGGGAGTTCGGGCGTCCATGACCTCCGGTTCTGCTTTACGGGTAAATATTATTTAAAAAAATCATAATAACACAGGTTTTTTTTTTGATTTCTTATTAGACGCAGTGTTTTTTACCCCGACAGCGTTGCGGTGAACCGATTTTTATTACTAAAAAAATGGAAATCACGTCGACCAACGGTGGCCAGTGGCTACGAGAACTGCGTACACCTCATGTTGTGTATATACCTATAATAATATGACTTGCCATCGACTATCTGTGTGCTGTGTTCGAATAAAATATATTGTTTTTTTTTTTTTTTTGTGTAGCAAGACGCTGTGGTTGCGCAATTGAGGCGACACGAATGCTGCTGTGGTCGGTGAGAGGTGTAGAGGCAAATACAAGCAATTTTACACTGTATGGTAATCGAGGGGAGGGGAAGAGAATTTTTGGTGGAGAAGGAAAATATGCGATAAATAAAATTGTCTTCGGGGTAATCGCACAACTATTATTATTATTCCTACCGACGTCTGTCCGTCTCAAGAGCTGGTTTACATCACAACAAACAAAACATTACAGCCGTCGACCTTATTTTTCATTGCGAGTCTTAACAGCAATGCAAGTCTATACGCCGTTTATTTTTGTTGACAGGCCGTTGCCTGTTCTATTCACACACAACCGTTATCTCGTTTCTTCACACACCGCTGTGGGATAGTTTATCATCGCTCAAACAGCTCTCCTATATTCGGCAAACTGTCCATTGGAGATATATATTGTTCCCCGCGAGGGTGACTTCTGACATCAAAACAACAAAATCCTACAGTTGTTGCGGATTTCACAATTATGATATCATGTCGATTGCAACTAAAATTGAGTATTTCCGGATTTTGTATAAATATCAGTCACTTGGCCGTTGACATGATTTTATATGGACCTGGAATGTGACATTTTGCAGAAGGCAAACATGACACGTTAAAATCGTTCTAAAATTCGGTTAGATCAGACGACCACCAAAAACAATTTTAATTTCACAATTTAATTTTCAGGAAAAAAGAATTCTATGTAAAATTATGTATACAACTTAAGGCCCATCATAGATGTGTTGAAACGATTTATTGTTTTATTTTACAACAATTGAGTCACGAATGACTTTTTTTTACCAAATTGTTATTTCTCATACTCCACTAAATAGTGCACTTCAATCATGAAATAGTCTTAATCTAAGTCGAGAACTGAGTATATTCTAAGGATTTGTAGGCACTAAAAGAGTAGGGCTGAGGAGGGGCTCACAAAATATTTTAGTGATTTTCTCAATCCCTCCAAAAATATTGTATTATATATTATAGTCATGTATACTTTTTTAGAGGGATTTTTATAAAAAGACGGATTTTAGTCCTCTGTTTTTAATTGCTATTCGCACCTTTACCTCTTCCCCGCCTCTTTTCACCGTTTACCTTCACTCATTCGAGTAAATCACAATTTCATATTTTTTAAATGTTTAGTTCAAGCAATTAAAAATATATATAAGCATAATAGTGTGTATTTAGACTTTTTGACAATTTTTAAAAATACTTTGTTGAAAACGCTTTTTAATTAATTAATAACAATTTTAGGTTTATAATAAAAATAAATAAGGTTACTTTTTGATAGCTAAAAAGTTTAAATTAAATACAACAAAAACATTTTAAAATAATATCAAATAAGTTTATGTTTGTGAGTGTGGCTGAAACGAGCCACTTTATGTATACTATCCCTACTATACTTTAAAATACCTACCACTTATAGATAGTTGTAATGTTAAATATTTTATAATATTGGAATTATTTATTGGATGATTTCCAACAACGCAAAAAATGATTTTCAACAGCGCTAAATTTTCATCATCACAAACTAAGCTCAGCGCAGCGGGGCCTTAAGAATTAGTTTTATAATACATTTTGTAGCCAATAAATTTCCTTAAATATTTTCCTTGTTCATACCTATTTAGAGAGTCATGATTTTTTCAACGTTTAAAGACAAAGTAAATTATTTTTTAAATATTCAATTATTTACCTATTAAACTTTGATTATAAATAAAGGCACGGTTAAGTATAATGTTGATACGGAGGTCGTTATAAAAATGTATTTTTTTATTAGGTAATTCGATCACATCAAAGTTGTTTTTAAACTAAATTAAAAGTATTTTGAGTTTAAATACCTAGTCTGTGAAATTTGATGAAATAACAATTGTTTGCATGAAAAAAACCGAAAGGGCGCTTATTATTATTTGACCCATGACACAGATTATATGCAATTTTCTCATTTGCACTGTTGTAATAGGTAATCAATCATAATATTCGACGATATAGTATTGCGGTTATTTTTTAAGATATTATATACTTTCATATAATATTGATACACACTGATGTATGGACCTTACAATTTTTGTTTTTTGTTCAAATGTAGATCATTACTTGATTTTGGTGAGCTTTGTTTACTACAAAGCGGTCGAGTAGGTATTTTATTGTGCTTTGGCAGAGGTGAGGGCAACCTCTGTCACACGGTAAGGAAGAGAATATCGAACCTGACAACTCCTGGATCGAATTCCAACAATACGCTTTGCCGTCTAAGATACATACAGGTTGTCGGACAACGTGACTTAAATGGAATTCGAGCACTTTCATCATTTCGCTAAATGATTAAAAAGTCAATGTATCGAATAGATAATAGTTATCTTTACTATACAATATTCCTTCGTGTCGAAATACAAGTAAACCACACTGTATATAGTCACGCGTCCCGTCGAGTGAGTGACTTTAATTCCTCCGGTTGTGTGTTTGAAATTTAATTTTTTGCGCTTAGAAGTTGTTCAGTTTAAATAATATATAGAAGTTATATTTGTCAAACTGATAAATTACATTTTCCGGAATATAATAATAATTGCATATTCTAATATAAATAGGTTTTTTTTTTAGTTTATTCACTTAGCACAAAATTAAGGTTATTTACCATAACTGAATGTATTTGCCGGTAGTCTATTTTTTTTTGTTTATATCGACTGTAGTATTTTTTTTATTATAGTGAAGACAAAGAAATTAGATATTATAGTAAAGTGATATATTTTACCTGAAAACGTCGTATGGCCACAAAGGAAGAACAGCACAATTGGAAATTCCGTCGACTCAAGTTGTAGTGGGTAAACGTCAAAGGACTCCAAGCATATTTAGCTCTTCGATCGAATAACGATATTGACTTAACGCGGCGGCAATCACGTTACGACAACGACAACTAACAATTATTTGTTTGTATGCTGTTAGCTTTTTTTTTTTTTTTGAGAAAACGAGAAGAAAGATCCGCCGAAGAAGACGCGAAAATCAACAATAACACTGGTTTATTCACTTCGAGAGCAATGATTATCTAATTTGATATTTGTCCATCAAACATTATGTCTGTTCGGATACTGAAGCGTCACGGCGGAATCGCTTTCCATTTCGGCCGCCCCACTACACACATACCTAGCTGTACCTGCCAGGTATCCACAGCCACCGCCACGTCCATTTAATATACACGTACCTGTATTATTATTATCATTATTATTACGTCTGCACGGCATAACGTTAGCATAGGTGCACCGTGACTCGAATGACAAGGACCGGTTGGGCTGGGTCAGGTGAACGTGTCGTTCGAGCCGGTCATCTGTGCTTCACCGGAGAGCCCATACAAAATGTATAGTGTTATCCTTATCCTTCAACAAACAACAAGCACAGCTGATAGCCGGGTCCGCCGCGTTGGGAAAATTTGAATAACCCGTTGAGGTCTAGTTGCGGTCTTGCTGTTAATACCTACCCTTGCAGGGTTTGACCGACGAGTGTGTATTTTGCTTTGATTCATAGAAAAACATAAACTACATACTTAAAAAGCCGGTACAGCGGGGTCGGGGCATAGTGGATTAGAGCCGGGGTGATCACAGATCTATATAATATGAATAACTAAAACTGAAGTCTGAAAGTCAATGTACCTAATAACGATAATGTTAAAATGTATTTTTAGTATTAGGGTGTATATAAGTAGGGTGGACTGTACATATTTTGGGTGTTTTTCACGGTTTTGAAGAGGAAGGGGTGAGGTTTTTTAATTTTTGGCGCAATTAAGTTTCCTTTAAGGTACGATTTCTTCATCTAGAGCATTGGTACATGAAGAAATCGGGTTCAGCGGTTTAGAAGATAACGTGGGTCAAGTAAAAAAAAAAACATAATCGTAAAAAAAGCTAAAAATTATATATATTGCCTACTGCAGCCGTTTAAACATTATGTTTTGTCGATCAACTCAAATAAAGGACACTTTGTACGTCTTAAGACATCTCCGGTCGAGCTTTTTCAAACCACATTTCAATAGTTGAAATAGCAATGACTTAGTAGTTGTTGATAGGGGCGGTGACAGATACTGGATACCATAAAAGCCGAAATCTATTATTATATATTTTTACAAAAATCAATACTTATTCAGCTTTCCATGGAAACTAAAAAAAAAACCAGTACAGTGGGGTCGGGGCATAGTGGTGACGAGGAGGTCACAGGTTTACAGGAATTTTTAAAACTGAAAGTGATAAAATCACTTTCGAAAAAACGCTTCGATGCTAATCGGTAGTTAGTATTTTCAAGTCAGTACAGTCCAAACCAAGTACAGTATAAACCAGCAAAGTTAGAAAGTTTTAAATGAAGGTTCTGTATTTACAAATGAGCATCAAAGCGTTAATTTGAAAGCGATTTTATTCAATTTTTATCACTATTATTTATAATAATTCTTGTAGACCTGTGACCTCTCCGTTTCCTCATTGCTTTGATTACATTATGCCAATACTCTACTGTACTAGTCCTCTCGGATAAAATCACTTTCAAGTTAACGCTTTGATGCTCATTTGTAAATACAGAACCTTCATTTAAAACTTTCTAACTTTGCTGGTTTATACTGTGCTTGGTTTGGACTGTACTGACTTGAAAATACTAACTACCGATTTGCATCGAAGCGTTTTTTCGAAAGTGATTTTATCACTTTCAGATTTAAAAATTCCTGTAAACCTAAAGATTATCTAGTATTAGACAATTTAAACAATCAGCGTGAATCTCTTTAAATGAATAACAGTATAACAACATGCAAAACATTAGTTTTCCTTTAAAAAAATTGTGTAATAAAAAATACATTTTGAGGCGGTATACTGCATAAAATCCAACACTTAAACTGAATCCAAAAAACAACAGTCCTCTTCATAATTTGCAGGTAGTTGGACCTTATATATTCATAGTTGACCTTCGGTAAGGTTATATAACGCAGGCTAAAAAAAAACGAGGTAACGACAGTGATTTTGTCGTATCAGAATCATTAAGTGTCTTAATAAGTACAAGGATAGGTTTTTTTCCCAGTAAATCGAGTGTCTACTATAATCAGTTACACGATTTAGTCGTCTGTGATATCATGTAATAAACACAAAATTATGATACCGATCATTGGGCCCTAACCTAATCTAACACGGATAGACGTTACCAACTGATAGTTTTTAGTGTCTGTTCGTTTCTCCCATCTGGTACACCGGGTTTTTAGTTAAAAAAAAAAAAAAAAAATTGAATTTGTGTAAACTTAAAGTCAAAAGTGTTAATTGGGCACAAAACTTAATAGTATCATTCTGCATAGATAAACATAAAATTGTTTTAATGATTTGATACATTTTTTTTTAAGATTTTAGGTGTTTTTGTTAAAATATACGAAATCTGCGAAAACACAGTTTCCCGGCAATTAAAAAAAAACTGTAGTGCCGAATTTTTCACCCGCTTAATATGTTATGGATACATATGAGTTCCAACTACTGGCAAATTTTCAACCCAAAAGTTTTAAAATTACCGCTAAAAACCCTGAAAAACAAAAAAACTTGTACCCCCCTAGGGGAGCGGGAAATGGGTATAGTTTAAATTTGACACAACTGACGTGCGCGGGCATACCAAATAAATATTTCTTATACATTTAAACTCGATCCGACTCTTTTTCTCGATACTATAGCCAGTAAAAGTTCTAACTTAAAAAATCGTACGGTTTTTTTTTTGGTTTTTTCAACTTTCGTCTGTGAAGAATTAAACTTTTTCAACTTTTACCCCCCCAAAGTACAAACTAGATAAAATTTGTGATTTATAGAGTGGCTATTCAAAGGAATTGGTCAAGTATTATAAAAGTTACAGTGTATACAGCGAAAAAAAAAGCCCACATCAGAGTAAAACCAATACCTTCTCGCTTTGCATCGAAGCTAAAACTAGTTAAGTTTTAAAATAAATATTACTTTATATTTTAAAAAAATTCAAGTTAAACACACAAATGCGGTAATGTCATGTCTTGCCTAATAACTTTTATAAAAAATAGTCTTAATTTGACTCTTAAACCGTAGTCAACTACTAGGTTGCTATGTGTGAGGTAATCAACTGTCAACATGTAATTCAAATATTTTAATTATATTGTTCATTACGAATAAAGTAACAAAAAACTCATTTATTCATTTAGAACCAATAGATTCACATATAAATATGTATTTCTTATAATGTTTTAACATTATATGATTACATAGTGCATTTATATAATTTCCCACTATTAATATACATGCATTTTGTATAGTATATTATATAGTGCACAATATACCTAAGTTTTATTACATTCGCTTGAATAATACGGGTTTCGATTTTTTCATAATAACATACCAACACTTGGGCTCTAAAATGACTTATTTTACTTGTTGTGTAAATGTTGACAAATGAGATTTACAGTGTTTTATTTTCCAAAAGGCTCTGGGTTTATTTTTTAAAAAAACATTTTATATTTATTACAAATTTTGCCTAGGGAGTTTTGTTTTCTTATACCAACACACTAAAAACTTTAATTTACATGTTTTGTGGTATAACTTAAGTTTGCTATAAAGATTGGTTTCGACCTGTTTAGACCCTAGGTACAAATACAATTTATAGTAATTATACCTTTTGTTTTACCCTCATGGGGTTACAATAAATATAAACGGGTATTGATCTATTAGGCAAAACATTTAAGAGAATTGTTGTCATTAAAATGCTTTTATCAATATTTATATGTATAATATCTACACTTGCACCATTACATATAGTTAGGCTACCAACACTTACAGTTAAATTTCATATTGACATTTACATAATTTCCCGAATATTTTAATTTCTAACCTTATATCCCTCAGAAAACAGTGCTTGTGTAAAGTGTGACTACAATAAATCTCAACTTACTTGTTTTGTAAGACGCTAAACCCACTATTCATTTATTTTATCCTAAAGCAACCTACGCGACCTAGTAACTTAACTTTAAATCCCCGATCGTTTAAACTCGTGATATTGCTTGAATGAAATGTTGATTTATAAAACTTAGACACAGGTGTTACAAAAGTGCGCGTAAAAACTATTGTTTTTAGTGTAAACCGTCGACTGCGACTGATTTATTATTGTTTGGTATTGACATTGTACAACACAGTGACACTGGAAAAAAATTAACTACAAGTACAATTCGTCGTTTTGTACATATTTATCAAGAAGAAACATATGAACTTCTGTTGTTCTTTTGTTTTGTACAAAACTAAAGTAGCGCTGTCATTTTATTACTGTACTCGGATAGATACGTTTCATAGACTGCCATTTTATTCGTATTGCTTGGACTGCCCTTGACCGTTTCACCGTTTTGTTAACTTGTGTCTAACAATTCCAAAACCTTATTTGGCAAAACGGTGAAACTGTCCAGGGCGGTCCAAGCATTACAAATTCAATGGCATTCAGTACAACAATATTTACTGAACATATCAAGATACTTATACTCGCATGAAGATGTAAAAAATGCACAACAAGTTTTGTGTACTCTCTTAACGCAAGAAGTAATCACTGAAAGTACGATAACGAACGTGACAGCCAAATTCTACAGAAATTTGTTGAACTTAAACTCGATTAAAATTCTGATAAAACGAGCAAGTGGAGATTTTTCGAAGGTTGCATCTCAATATGATATCTTTGATGAGACGTATTTCCAAAATCAAATTGTAATAGCGTTTTTCGTTTTCATAACATCTTGGCATGGTAAGTTCTTTGGACCCGTTATGGCTAAAATTCTAAATAAGCATACATCAGCCATAACGGGTCTCCGTTATGGCTGATGTATGCTTATTTAAAATTTTTCAAAACTTAACCTTTCTTCTGAAGAATATATTATTAAGAAACTCTGCGTGACATCATTTATGGGTTACTTGTATAATTTACTGACAACAATTATTGCCATTATTAGATAATATGTGTTACCATCAATATAGTAAGTCCGACCACTGTCTGTAATGTCATGAAATATGTACTTGATGTGCAATCGACTTAGCATAAAAACGGAAACCAATCAACGGGAGTACTGGCTTAATGATTTCAATTGGAGTGACATAC